GAGCGCGGAAGGGGGCCGCTGGTCCCCTCAAGCCCCCCCAACTCCTCCACCATGCGGCGGCACCCCAAGTGCACGCCCACCCTGCTGGTGGAAATACAAGGACACAAGGCAGTCCTTAGCCCTCACCGGGCCTCCGTCTCCCCTGCACAATGGGTGAGGGCTGGGCTCAGTTACCGCTCTGTGCGCACCGGTGCTAAGACAGGGGAGAAAGCTCCGCCCAGCCCCACTGGCCCTGCCACAGATCCTGAGGGATCTGAGTGCTAGAGAGAGAGACAGAGAGAGGGAAAGTAAGAAATTGCCCCTCAGGGGGATGGTCACACTAAAGTCTCTTTTTCTCTTGGGATTTTGGGCACTCATGCACACGTACCCATGTGATTTCAAGCCACTGGTTCTGGGTCCCAAACCGTGTGGCCGGCCATGGGGGGTGGTCCAGCTGCCTGAACCTCTATGCCACCTGCTGCCTGGTCTCGCACAATCCACTAGGACCTCCCCATCCATGTTGCACGTTTGAAACACCCTCAGTAACTACCCAGGGGTGGCCGTGAGGTCCCATCCCCCGTCCCCAGAACCCGCCTAGCCACTGGTGGTTACATGGGGGAGGGGAAGGAGGCCCTCCCACAGGGAGCATGGGGTGGCCTGTCCTGACCCTACCGTTGGTGGCTGGTGATGGGTGTGGAGGGCTCGACTGCAGTCCAGGGTGCCTCTGTGGGCGGAACCTTCCTTCTCTTCTGAGAAGTGAGTAAGTGGCCTTGCCCACACGGGCTGCCAAGCCGATGCACTGATGGCCGGGCGCTGGCCCGGCCGCCTAAGTGCGACTGCTGTGGGTGGGAAGGGCTGGGCGTGCCAGACCCAAGACCATCTGCCTCCTCCCAGGGCCTCCTGAGATAGCTTCGGCTCCGGGGTAGGAGCACAGAGGGAGACGCCTGATCATTACAGAACTGTTGGGGGAGCCCTGGGACTCTGGGTGAGCCTGCGGTCCTCAGCCAGGGCAGGTCGCTAGGCTCCGAGGGAGCTCTGTGGAGCACCAGGGCGACCGTGCCTGGAAAGCCCTCCTGCAGGGTGCTGGGGACACCACTGTTCCTCACAGCACAGGGACGAGTCCCACCGTCAGCTGTCACCACACGGCACAGGGACAAGTCCCGCCATCAGTCGTCACCCCATGGAAGTCACACTAACAGATGCCACTCCCACACCACAGGCCCGAGTCTTACCATCAGAGGTCACCACACAGTACAGGAACAAGTCACACCAGCAGATGTCGTCCAATGGCACAAGCCCAAATCCTACCATTGGGTGTCACCCCACACACAGGCTGGAGTCCCCCGGTCAGATGTCCCCCCATGGCACAGGCCTAGGTTCCACCACCGCTGTCACTCCCGCGGCACAGGCCCAGATCCACTCGGACATTTCCTGTCTCCCTGACGAGCCGCACCGAGCTATGAAGTTACGTGACACCCATCGTCAACCCCTGTCACCTTTGGCCTGGGTGACCCTTGTGAATAGAATCAACCCACGGGCTCAGTTCCAAGTGTTGGTGAGTGTGGACAGAATCTAGAACCCAAGGAATCTGGAGCCCTAGAGCCGGCCATGGCAGTTCCTGGACATCAGGAGACCAGAATCTCGCGTTCCAACCCCAGCCTGTTAGATCCCCGGGGCTGCAGGGAGAGGGGCGCCGCCCGCCAGAGGGGTAGGTTTTCCCCTCAATGGTGCCGAAAGGCAGGCGACCCAGCGCCCCGGGACCCTAGGTTAGGAAGGTCTCTCTGGCTCAGCAATGGCTGCTTCAAGATCCCTCCTCTCTCCCCACAGTGGGGTCATGGAACAGCCTCCTTTGACCCCCAGACCTCTCTCATAAGACTCTCCATGACCTGCGGGTACCTGTGCTGTCCCGTGCCCCCCTCTGCATCTCCCTGTCAGTGTGACTTGTCCCTGTGCTATGGCGGTGCCCCCTTCCAATGCCCTTCCGTGCATTCCCTGGTCCTCCCCTCCCCGAAGGAAAACCAGTTTGCACTCCGAGTCTCCATTCCCCACCTCTGCCCACTCCAGCCCTCTGATGCTGTCAGGACCACCAAGGTCTTGGCCGGTGGCCAGAGCTGGGGGCATCTAGCAACCTCACACTCCTGGCCGACCCTGGGGACGGCTCCGCGCCTGCCTGACCCCGCTGCCCACCTCGCCTCACTCTCAGAAAGCCATTCCCAGAGGGGCCCTGGGCAGGAGCAGGAAGGGGGCTGGGTGCCCGGCTCCTGCTGATACCGTCACAGCAGCAAAAATGGCATCTGTCTCTGGTCACTCCAGGGGAGCTGGGACAAAAGAGGACAGGCGTCTAATCACGCACGTGTGGGCCGCAGGGCAGGGCAAGGAGCACCTGTGAGTCCCTCGCTCCCGTCACCCTTTACAGAGTGCCGGACAGAAAATGAAACCCTTTTGTCCTGACGAGGATGGACATTCAAGGCACCCAGTGACAGTATGTGTGTCTGGGACCCACGGGGCGGCAGGAGCCCGGGGCCAGGCCTGTCATCAGCCCGGCCTCTGCTAGCTCCCTGTGCTGGCCGGGACTCGGGCTCCAGGGCTCCCGTGGGGTGGGGAAGGGAGCGTGGGGCAGTACCTCCTGTTCTGGATCACCCACTGGCCCTGGGTACACGGCAGGTCATATTTCTGCCTCCGCAGCGCATAGGCGTCAAACCAGAGGGCCAGGCCGTAGTCCAGCGAGGGCACCTGGTGGGGAGAGGGCCGTCAGGTGTCCGTGGGGTGTGGCCAGGCCGGAGGACCATCCTCCTGGTCCACAGGACAGAAGGAGGCCTAAGGACCAGAGCACCATCAGTCACTTGGTGGCTTTGTGGTGACTCACAGGGAGGCGTTGGCCACATTTGCTGCCCACCCTGACAGGAGCCGGAGCCAGGCCTCAGCCTGCAGAGCTTCAGCAGAGGCAGGACACCCCCCCCCCCCCGGGCCCCGCCGCCCC